AGTGAAGACACAGAAGGATCTTCCTGAACAGAACTTATTTCGAAGATACAGCTCTCCTCTAATTAAAACTCATTGCAATTCCAATAAAACTCTCAATGTGTTTTCAAAAATGACAAATGGAGAAAGTCCACAAGAAAAATGGGGCTGGAAAAAGATCGATAAGAGGGGCACTTGACCTACCTGATATCAAGACTATACTGAAAGTTAGTAATGGCGCATGAAGACTAAGGCACACAACTCGGGGCACACCCTGAACACGATGATAAAGAACTTTGAGAAAAATTGCCAACCAACTGGAGGGGGAAAACATATCCCTACTTCATGTTATACACACTTAAAGATTCCAAAGAAGTTAACAGATTTAAATAAAGACAAATATTAGATCAAACAACATGAAATTGCGATTTTTGTAGGTTAAAAGCAGTTAAGTATCAGCAGTTTCACAAAGTTCAAGCTAATACATTAATTGTGAAGAAAAAAAAACAGGACACTTTTATAATCTTGGAGTGAGGAAAACTGACATAAAGAAATAAAACTTAGAATATACAAACATTAAGTAGTTTTGACATGCAGAAGTTGTCTGTGCATATGAAAAATGCCTGTGTCACAAGGTTAATATTTTTAAAAGTTGAAAGCTGAAAATGAATTAGGGGGAAAAAGTTAATATTTATAGAAGTCAAAGGATTAATATAATTATAAAAGAATCCCTATAATCTATAAAGAAAGGACAAAAATACAACAGAAATGTGCAAAGTAAACAAGCCATTCCCAGGAGAAATGCTAATGGACAATTGTCATTTGAAAAGATGCTCACCCTCACTAGTAAAAGGGGACATGTAAATTAAAATACACATTAGGGTTAGTGACTGTGTGGGGCAGTAGACATTTTCATACCTTGCTAGTGAATGTTAGTCTTTTAGAGGATGCTTTGTCCATTTCATCAAAATTTAAGCTGTCTATATCCTTCAACCCAACAATTACGCATTTAAGAATCTATCGTAGAAAAATGCCTATGTATGCTCACTTCACTGCAGCACTGTCTGTTATAGCCAATAAATAGGAAATACCAATTTCCAACAATCATTTGGTGATTACATTATTGTATCTCTATGCTACATAATATTATTCAACCATTTTTTAAAAATACAGAGTAATATGTATTGATATGAAAGTCCTTCAAGTCATATGCTATAAAGTAAAAAAAAAAAAAAAATGAATTGCAAAATAATACAGAACAATCCCATTCTTGTAAAAAATATCTATATCCTGTATCCTACATGTCAATATACATAAATTGGCTATTGGGAGTATTAGGGTCAAGGAAAACTTTATATATTTGTACTTTTAAAAATCTTTTACAAGAGCAGCGTATCATCTACCTATGTCATTATACAAATACAATTAATTTCAATTCACTTCAAAATCAGTTCCACACATATCCATGAGGTATGGCCAATTCCAGACACTTTCCAGGATTTCTTTTAATTAGATGAAAATCATATAGATACACATACACATATATATGTATATACATGCACACACACATATATATGTGTATGTGTATATATATATCTCAGCACCTCCTTTCCTGCTGAAAGCTCTGATTTTTAGAATTTCTATTTTAATTCCTGTTTTCCCCAAGGACCACAAAATATATTTTCAATGAAAAGGGGCAGAACATCAGTTTGATTCCAGTTCTTTAACTGATATCCTTTTCAGTGAAGCTCTGCTTTTAACATAAAGGGGGGTTCTGCCTCATCCAGACAAGCACACTTGAAGATTTTACCCTTGAGACAATGAAAGGGAGGAGGGGAGCATGTTCTGATCAGCCAATGTGCGCGCTCATAATCTCCCGTCATTCCTGAGCACCGGGGAATGGACACACCTCTGCTGCCTCCTCCCAACCCAGCTGTTGCCTGGAGTGTAATTTTTCAGCCTTTATGACTTCACACGATCTTACTTAATCAGAGAGCAGGACCCCCATTCCAGGCTCTCCCATTCTCCCGGCTGGCTTACTCTCCTTCCTGCCTATTTCTCTCCCTCCCTCTCCTGCCCATCCTTAGCACAGGCCTCTGACACTGTCACCCTCGGCTTGTCGCCCGGCTGCCACAGCCAGCGGGAAGCTGGAAGCCCACACCTTCTCCAGTCTCAAACGGCAGCCCAGGGCAGGGCACCTACCCGTGTTTCTCGCTGTGATCTTGGAGCCGTGTCTCAGCAGACGGACAAACACATCGCTGCTGCAGTGGTTCACCATCTGCAGGCGGAGGCCCCTCCGGGTCTGGATCCTGACCAAGCATTTTGCCATACTGGTGCTTCCTGCTCCCTCTGCCTTCCTCTGCCTGTCACGGCCAGGGCCACCTACCACCAGCCATAGTGGCTTTGACCTTTCACTAACTGTCCATTCTGTTTTAAATGACCGAGGCAGGGCCCACTGAATGAATCAAATGTCAGTTCGTAACGAGGCCAACAGAAATAACTCAGGAGGGATCAGCATGAAACAGGAGGAGGGAGGGGGGTGCTATTTTTAAACTCGCCGCTCACTACTCTAGCAAACAATGAAATATTACGCATCATCCTTAGCCCAGCCTTTTCTAAACTATCTAAACCAGAGTACCCACCCAGATGCCTTACAGTGCCCTACGAATGGAGCGCCCCAGAAGATAAATAACAGTGAGGGAACTCCACAAAGGAGAAGCTACCACCTTAATTTCCTTTCAAAAACACTTATGGAGCCTTTATGATGTTCCAGAGCAATGCTGTGATGCAAGCCACATTTAGAAAACTATTTTAGAAGTAAAAGAAATACATTCATTGTAATAATGTGTTTTATTAGAAGCCAAGCTATCCAAAATAGTACTAAGGCTTTTTGGTACTAAGGCTTTGAAATTGGTGCGGTTTGCACACTTACGGTACATATGGCCTCAGGCCGGCCACATTCCAAGTGCTCAGCAGCCACGCGGGGCTGCCATATCCAACAGCACAGCCCCAGATGAAGTGCTGAGCTCCTCACAACATAATCTCCGTCCTCAAGGTGATGCTGATATTTTCTTCTTTTTATAGAGAGTAACTGACCTGGCCAAATACACCGTTAATACGCAGCAAAGCCACGATTTGAACCTAGGCACCCAATTAACATCAGTTGACTTAAAACACCACCAGTCAAGATGAGAGCTGTTAGTGCCCCCACTTCTAACCAAATGTGTGGGGGTTTTAAATATGTTTTTATTGATTTTTAGAGGGAGAGGAAGGGGGGAAAGAGAGAGAGACAGAAATGGATATGAGACAGAAACAGAAACATGGACCGGTTGCCTCCCGCACACACCCCAGCCAGGGATCAACCTGCAACCTGGGCATGTGCCCTGACGGGGAATCTAACTGGAGACTTTAGGTCACCAGACAACGCTCAACCAATTGAGCCACCTGCCCAGAGCAAACCAAATGTGTTTTAAATGAAGAATTCAAACATTACATCTAACTTTCAGCACTTCAAAAGTCCCACACTTGTATGTCTGAGGCATAAAATGTGCTTGCATCCCAGTGTAAGTGCTCTGGGAGCAAACTGTTTTCAATTTTTCAGGACATGCTATATTTGAAAATTTTTAACTGATTGATAACTGTGCCCCACATACTGTCTTTGTTCTATTTCTTTACTGGTACATTTTGTTCACTCTCATTCTCAGAAGAAGAAAATTTCCTCATACAATTTCATCATGCATGCATGTACTTTTCTACTTTAAATAGCTACTGCAGCCAAAAGATAA